TCTCACTCTGTAGCCAGGCTGGAGTGCAGTGGTGCAATCACGGCTCACTGCAACCTCTGATTCCCAGGTTAAAGTGATTCTCCTGCCTCAGCCTCCTGAGTAGCTGGAATTACAGGCATGTGCCACCACTCCTGGCTAATTTTTGTATTTTTAGTAGAGACGGGGTTTCACCATGTTGGTCAGGATAGTCTCGATCTCCTGACCTCATGATCTGCCTGCTTCAGCCTCAAAGTGCCGGGATTACAGGAGTGAGCCACTGTGCCCAGCCAAGAATGTTTCATTAAATATCTCGATTATTAAGTTTTGGTGCTCCTTACATTCTGTGTTCAAGGTAAGTACCTCACTCATTTTTACCCTAGTTCCTGCCCTACTGGAAGAATTAGATATCTACATAGGGAGGAGGGGAGTGTTGACCCCTACCCCTCACCATACACAAAAATAATTTGAGATGGATCATAGATATAAATGTGAAAGAAAAAAAATAAGGCTTCTAGAAGAAATATAGATGGGTATCTTCATGGTCTAGTGGTAAGCAAAGATTTCTTGCACTGGGAGTGGGGGTGGGGGTAAGGAGGAGAACACTAATCTTAACAACAAAATTTCATAAATTGGATTTCATTAAAATTTAGAATTTTTGGTCATTAAGACACCACTGTAAATGAAAAAACGAGTCACAGAGTGGTAGAATTTATTTTAAATACCTGTATGTGGCAAAGGACTCATGTCCATAGTATTCAAAGAATTCCTACAAATCAGTTAAGTAAAAGAAACACTGATAACTCAATTATTAAAAATGTGCAAAAGATGAACAGGCAGTTCACAAAAGAAAATTTCTAAATAGCCGATAAACATGAGAAGTGGTACACTATTATTAGTCATTAGGGAAATGCACATTAAAACCACAGTGCAATATCATGCAGACTCACCAGAGTGACTAAAATGAAAAAGGTGGGCTGGGCACAGTGGCTCACAACTGTAATCTCAGCATTTTGGGAGGCCGGGGTGGGGTGGATCACCTGAGGTCAAGAGTTCAAGAGCAGCGTGGCTAACACAGCAGAACCCCATCTCTACTAAAAATACAAAAATTAGCTGGGCATGGTGGTGAGCCCCTGTAATCCGAGCTACTTGGTAGACTGAGCCAGGAGACTCGCTTGAAGCTGGGAGATGGAAGCTGAAGTGAGCCAAGATTGCACCAGTGCACTCCAGCCCGGATGACAGAGTGAGACTCTGTCTCAGAAAAAAAAAAAAAATTGTCAACAACATGTGTGAATCTCAAACACATTATGTTTAGCAAAAGAAGTCAGACACACAAGAACATATACTGTATGATTCTATTTTTTGCAAGGTTCAAGAACAGGCAGAACTAACAGCCAACAAACATATGAAAAAAAGCTCATCATCACTGGTCATTAGAGAAATGCAAATCAAAACCACAGTGAGATACCATCTCATACCAGTTACAATGATCATGAAAAAGTCAGGAAACAACAGATGCTGGAGAGGATGTGGAGAAACAGGAATGCTTTTATACTGTTGGTGGGAGTGTAAATTAGTTCAACCAATGTGGAAGACAGTGTGGTGATTCCTCAAGCATCTAGAACCAGAAATGCCATTTGATCCAGCAATCCCTTTAATGGGTATATACCCAAAGGTTTATACATCATTCTGCTATAAAGACACATGCACATGTATGTTTATTGCAGCAGTGTTCACAATAGCAAAGACTTCGAACCAACTCAAATGCCGATCAGTGATAGACTGGATAAAGAAAATGTGGTACATATACACCATGGAGTACAATGCAGTCATAAAAAAGGATGAGTTCATGTCCTTTGCAGAGATGTGGATAAAGCTGGACACCATCATTCTCAGCAAACTAACACAAGAACAAAAAGCCAAACATGGCATGTTCTCACTCATAAGTGCAAGTTGAACAATGAGAACACATGGACATAGGAAGGGGAACATCACACACTGAGGCCTGTCGGGGAGAGAGATAGCATTATCAGAAATACCTAATGCAAATGATGGGTTGATGGGTGCAGCAAACCACCATGGCACGTGTATACCTATGTAACAAACATGCACATTCTGCACATGTATTGCAAAACTTAAAGTATAATAATAAAAAAAGAAAAAAAGAATCCCTCACGATGCTGCCACATTGGGGATGACATTTAGGTATGACTTTTGAAAGGACAAAATATTCAAAGCATAGAACATTTACTGCTATAAATTTCCTTTTTAACTGTTTTTGCTGCATTCCATGAGTTTCGGTATGTTGTTTTTTACACTTTTATTTGTTGTAAGATATTTTTAAATTTAACTTTTAATTTCTTCAGAAAAAAAGAACAGGCACAACTAATCCATGATGATAGAAATCAGAATAGAGGTTGTCTCTGAGCAGAGAGGAGGGCAGAGACCAGAAAACAACATGAGGGTCATTTCCATTCAGGGCTGTGGCTAAGCCAGATCTCGATCAGGGTTTTAGTTACATGGGTATGTACATTTGTCAAAACTCATCACCCTATACACTTAAGATCTGTGCATCTTATGGTATTCATTGTACCTTAATAAAAATTGTTTGTTAACAAAAAGGTTTTTTGTTACATAAATATGTAGTAAGAAATTCTATTAGTTGTTTTATGAGGCAGAGTGACTTCCTGAATAATTTACACTATATTTTTATTGCTGCATTTTCTGACAAAGAAAGTAGATTCATGCTTCCCTGTACCAAAGAAGGTAGCCAGGCCTTTATCCATAGGGTCTTGGAACTGCTAATGCACAGCAGGGAGTTCGTATTTCAGGGCTGAAACAATTGTCAGGAACCTAGAAACCAATCCTCAAATAAGTCTAGATCTGTGAAAATTTTAAGCTGAAGTGTCCCAGAGGGTTGAGACCGGAAGGAAGCTGGCTCCCTGAAATGCCAACAGTCCTGAAGCCTCAGGTGCACTGGGTAGGAGGACCCTGGGTAGGGAGTCCCCGAGCCCTTTTGGTGTTAAGAGCCCAGATACAGCAGTTTAGGAACCTTAGCAAAGACCCTGGAGACCAAACTTGGCAGAGAGGGGTTGAGACAGTTTTTGCCTTCAGACGGCTAAGCACAAAAGCAAGAGCTGTCCCTGTAGCTTAAGGGCCTGTCTCACTTCTACTCTGGATAAACTGCAGAAACTCTGGAATTCTTACACAACACAAAGGTTGGACTTTTTTTTTTTTTTTTTTTTTTTTTTGCCAACCTAGGTAAAGGGAGGCTTAAGCCAGATTATGTTTGATATAGACAAAAATCAAAAACAAAACCTTTGCCATTTCTCATGCGCAGTTGTGAAAACTGTCATACCTAATATACTTAAAGTCAATTAAATGTCATGCATCACTTGTTACAGAAGAAAAAGTAGATGTTTGTCTTTTACTCTTTAAGATGATGTTAAAATAACTTTCCAATTATAAAAAGTTATTGTTTTAAAATCAAATTTATCTAAAATAACTTATATGTTATGAACAAAGGACAAATTGCTTTTGAAGTTGCTAAGGAGGTTGACAAAATTATGAGTGAAAGAAGTTTGAGAATCAAAAAAGGTTTGAAAATGCTGCTGCAGGCAATAGGATACAGAGAAATTTTGTGTGCTTAGTTACTTTTAGCAGAGTGACAGTTAGCTTTGGGGGGTTCTGTGTGTGCTGTCTTTGTTTGTTTGTGACAGCATCTTGCTCTGTCATCCAGGCTGGAGTGCAGTGCAGTGGCACCACCCTGGCTCACTGCAGCCTCCACTTCCCAGGTTCAAGTCATTCTCCTGCCTCAGCCTCCTGAGTAGCTGGGACCACAGGTGCATGCCACCACGCCTGGCTAATTTAGTATTTTTAGTAGAGGCAGGGTTTCACCACGTTGGCCAGGCTGGTCTTGAACTCCTAACCTCAAGTGATCCACACACCTCAACCTCCCAAAGTGCTGGGATTACAGGTGTGAGCCCCCTCCTGCCAGGCTATGTTCTCTTTTTCACCGTATTCTCTTATTCTTTTATTTCCTCCCTTCTTCCCACTAAACCATTAAAATGGCCTAGCTATGCCAGAGAACTATAATAAAAGCCTGCTGGAGGTATTTAAAGCCTCACTCTTAAAGTGTGGTCCCGGTCCAAGGGCAGCAGCATCACCTGGGAGCTTGTTAGAACTGTAGAAACTCAATCCCTACCCCAGACTTACTACATCAGAATCTGCTTTTTAGCAAGACCCCCCCAGGTGACACATATGCATGATAAAGTTTGAGAAGCATTGCTCTAAAGCACAGATCTAAGCACATTTTTTACCTGGCTGTAACATCTTTGATGTCTTTCAAATTGCACAGTTGTATTTATATAAAGTATTCAACCTGGCATTCAAAACTCTACCATGTGACCTCTGTCAACTTTTCAACCTTTTCTTTGAGTCCCGATAGTTCTATACTCCATCCAGATTGGTGACATCTCTCCTCAAACACATCCAATACTCTTCCCTTTCCCATGCCTTTTTCCAGTGTATGCCCTCTTTTCTCAAGGTTTCCACCACCCTCCTCTATTCACCCCAACCACCTTCCAAATCCCACTCTTCCTCTGAAGCACACTCAAACCTGAGCTCTCCCAGATGGCATTTTATAGAGCCCCCTAGTTCAAAATGCTGTCTACCTCCCATGTCTTTAGCAACATTTATACATCTACTAACTCTTAACACATTCTCTTTCCTTGAAGTTATGTGTCTATCTGTCTCCCCCACTTCACCTCGAGCTCCTAGAAAGTGGGGATAGTTTTTTATTCATCCACAATGTCTACTACACTGCCATACATAATAGCTGCTCAAGGTCTGCTGAAATGAATTGAAGGGAAAATGGTTTATAGTGACCTATAGGAAGACATCCATGGGCACTGTCTCAGCTCCCCTCTCTCCACATCCAGTTCCTCCCCGACCCAAAGTATAGGAGTTTCTATGGCCTCAGGAACAGGAACCAGTGAGTTTCAAGGGAGGGCTACATCACTTACCTCTGATTTTTTCTTGGCTGGCACCTGCTTCCAGCTCTGAGTCCCAGAGAACAGCATCCAAAGCCCCAAAATGAAAAAAACAAATAAGAATAAAAGGTTGATACATGACAGCAGTGGGACGTCCATCCCCCAAATGGGTGCCATTTTTCAACCAGATGCTCTTCTCAGCTGAGGGGTTTTCTGCCTCCAGGCTGTGACTTCATGTGCTATCACAATGGGCTTTCCCAGGTAAATCTGACAGCATGCAGTCAGTGTGCAGGCTGCTTAGGTCTCTTCTCTGAGCCACACCCAAAGTAGCATCTGCTGCCCCTTCCTGCAGCTGTCCATAGGCTCTGCTCTGACAGCCAAACTCGGGGAAGAACTCCTTTATGACTCTTCTAGGATTGGGCTAGACAGCTTGTCATTAAGTAGGGAGTATAGAGGCAAGGTTTCAAAGACGCAGGCCTTCCAAGTGGCCTGTTCTGCCCTGCAAGCATTTTCTCTAGAGCCAGTCACTCCCTAGAAGTCCAGGTATGGAGTTAAATGTCCCAAACCACAAACTAGAATACAAGATCAAGTAAACTAAAGAAAGCTAGGATATTTTAAGTAGGTACTCTCAGAACATTTGAGACATACGGTTTCCTAAATCTAAGGCTTGACACATTTCCTAGCTGCTATTGCACTGGGACAGAAAAGAGATGCCAGAGGGAAATTAAATGACCTTAGAGGATCACTCTGCCCCAGAATCTACAGTCTCATTTTCAAAATCTGGAATATTTATTCTGTCAGGTCATCCAGACGTGACTGGATTCTCCAGGGCTAATTCACTAAACAAAAAATGTACAAGGAATCAATTCATGCTATAACAAAGATTAATAGAACTGGCCAAAGCATTCTTCCTTTGTTTTTTTTTTCTTTTTTTGGGACAGAGTCTCACTTTCTCACAGGCTGGAGTGCAGTGGCATGATCTCAGTTCACCACAACCTCCGCCTACTGGGTTTAAGCGATTCTCCTTCCTCAGCCTCCCAAGTAGCTGGGACTACAGGCACGCACCACCACACATGCCAGAATGCAGCACCGAGCTTTCTAAAAGCCTTGTCTGGGGCCATTAAGAGAATGGAAGCATTTTGGACAATATATAGATGGCACGGGGTCATCGCTGTGAAGGTTGCTGACCGGAAGCCAACAGAATGGTATTTTAGAAAATGAATTAAGTAGTACTGTAGGAACAAAGTCGGAAAGGATAGCATATCAAGACATGATTTGTTTTTTCTTTTTTTTTTTTGAGCCGGAGTTTCACTCTTGTTGCCCAAGCCAGAGTGCAGTGGTGCAATCTCAGCTCACTGTAACCTGGGCAACAAGAGGAAGACTACGTCTCAAAAAAGAAAAAGAATTGAAGTTGGGAGACTTGAACCTCTGTGTCTAAGGTTCAAGTGATTCTGCTGCCTCAGCCTCCTGAGTAGCTGGGATTACAGGCATTGGCCACCATGCCTGGCTAATTTTTTGTATTTCTAGTAGAAACGGGGTGTCACCATGTTAGCCAGGCTTGTCTCGAACTTCTGACCTCAGATGATCCACCCGCTTCAGCCTCCCAAAGTGCTGGAATTACAGGCGTGAGCCACCGTGCCCAGCCCAGCGATTTTTAAAGTTGTAAAAATCACTTCGAAAACACCAAGTTTGACTTTTCTTTGCTCACCATAATACCTAACTCTAAGTCATGCACTTTGGTCTTTACTCTGATATAATATCAACTGAGCCATGTGTTAGTCCAAGTTCCCTAACTTTTAGCTGTCAGGGCTCTGTCTTACATCTGCTTAACAGCCTTCAGAGGTTCTGGCTCTATTATCCAGCGGGCACTCCACAGATTCCCGCTACCTGATTGTAAAGGAAAAGACACAGAGGAGACAGCTGCAGATGTGAGAAGGGAAGCTGAGTGTGAATGGAGGCCTAGGAAGAAGGAGGGCCAGAAAGAGCCTGCTGCCCTCACCTTCATCCAGCCCTTCTCCATCAGGCCGCTGTTTCCAGAGTCTTGCACTCTGAGGTAGCAGTCCACGGCACGGCTGTACTCCCAGCCTGCTCCCAGTGTTGAGCTTGTTCCACGAGTCCCTCCACACCCCTGTGGAGATTAGAGCACTGGGATTAGGCATGGGGGGGCAGCATGCTCTAACCTGTGCATGCCTCATGACCCTCCCAGCCCTGCCACTGCTGCTGGACCTCTGGCCTCATACCTGGCCCCCTTCTTAGTAGCTTCCCGCTCATACTCCTACGGCAGAGCCTCCAGCTGGCCAGGCACATACTCCTTGCAGATCTGCAGCGTGTCACTCCATAATCCAGCCTCCTGCTCAGATTTCCAGGTATCAAGAAGGCAGAGGCAGGCATGACAGCTTCCCACTGCCACACAGGTGCCCTGGTCCACGGACTCCTGGGTCCTTAGACCTCTCTTCTCCTTCCTCTTTTCTGTCTTTCCCACTCCCCAGTACTAATCTCCCTGATCTTTCTTCATACCAGGGGTCACTGTGGCTATCTGTGGGCTCTCAGACTCTCTCCGTCCCCTCATGGCCCTGAATCCAGTGCCCCACCTTATTATAATTGAGAGTCAGGCCTGATCTCTGGGCCCGGAGCAGCAGCTCTTCTGCTTTCTGAAAGTCCTCCTCCTCCGAGGCCCTCCAAGCCTGTCCCACAAGCACCTCACGTGGGCCTCGGCCACACACTGAGCTGTCTCCCAGTCCTGATTATGAACAAACCTGCCCCCAAATGGGGACAGAGGAGAGAATGAGTATAGGACTAAGGCCCCAATTCAGGGAGACAAACAGCCATGTCACTGAGGGGTGTAACACTGATTTGTTCTAGGTTTGAATGAAGGTCAAGATAATCATGAACGATCCTGGGACTGTGACTGGGGAAACAGGATTAAGGAATGTATGGGGTAACTCACATGAGGACTGCTTCCCTGAATTTTCCAGCTCTGATGAATTCAGCTTCAGCCTCTTCGAATTTACCCTACAGGGAGACGGACAGCTGTGCGTGATGGGAAGGAGACTGGCATCACAGGCAGCCACGAGACCCGGGTCTGCACACCAGGCAGCAGTGCACTAGGGGATGGAACAAGAGGGCTCTGCGGTCGGGGTCCAAATCACACCCATACCTCATCCTCCAGGTACATAGCGTATTTGAGATGGATCTCGGGGGTTTTGTGCTTGAGGGCCAGCCGAGAGAGTTCAAAAGCAAGTTCAAAAGAGCTGAAACAGAAGGTGCAGATAAAGTTTTCTTACTTCACACTTCCCTTCATAAAAGGAACAAGACAAGACAAAACAGAGAAAGGACAGGGTTGAGGGGAGAAAAAGTGACAGGTTTAAGGATAACAGACATGAAGTGACAGAAAAGCATAGAGATAAAGAGGAAGACAGGCAGGCAGCCCTGTGAAGACCATGTCACTGTCGGCACGGATCAAGAGACGTCTAGAAAAGCCTGTGGCTTCCCTGAGGCCAGCTGCTCCTGTGGAAGGAGAATGGGCCTGCGAAGGGGAAGGGAGGAGTGAGCCTCTCAGTCCTATGCTGACAGGGCCAGGAGGGCTCCTGGTGCTCATCACCTCCTCCTGAGGTGGAGATGATGATGAAATATACTGGGTGAATTTGAAATCACTGATGATCATAGAGCTAGGAATATTGTTGTGAACCTCACAGGCAGGCCGAACAAGTGTGGAGCGATCAGCCCCAGATCCGACATGCAACTCAGAGATCTAGAAAAATGGCGGAATAATCTGCTCCCATCCTGCCAGTTTGGTGTTTTGTTGTTGTTGAGATGGAGTCTCGCTCAGTTGCCCAGGCTGGAGTGCAATGGCAGGATCTTGGCTTGCTGCAACCTCTGTCTCCCAGGTTCAAGCGATTGTCATGCCTCAGCCTCCCAAGTAGCTGGGACTACAGGTACCCGCTACCATGCCCAGCTAATTTTTGTATTTTTAGTATAGATGGGGGTTTCACCATATTGGCAAGGCTGGTCTCGAACTCTAGACCTCATGATCCACTCGCCTCGGCCTCCCAAAGTGCTGGGATTACATGTGTGAGCCACCGTGCCTGGCCACCAGTTTGGTTTTATTGTACTGACAAACTCAGCTGGCATCATGGACCATGAAGAAGCAAGACAACAACACATCGGAGGGAAAATCCTGGGATTCTCTTGAGATGTAATACATATTTACAAATAAAATACCTCATGAGCTCTGGTGCTTCCAAAAAAAGAAAAGTTCGCTTTGAATTTGACAGAATCACACTTCCCCTACCCAGAAGCAAGTGACTGGCTTAGAGCAGTCTGCAGTGCTGGCTTTACAATCTGTTCCCTCTCCACCCTTCTTAGAACGGCCAAAACTTAAACACTGTTCGGAGCCCCTAGGGAATAGGAGCAGTTAATTTATTCTTGCCACTCTATCATGTCCTTCCAAGGATCTTCCTTTACTATGTTTCTTCATTCTTGCCTCTGCTTCTGGAAATACTTTTCAGTTATACATCAATTCTCTTTATCTAGAAAGGGGCTCTGGCTGGGATGGGGCTCATGGAGAGAAAGTTTGGGGCCTCACCAATTGTCTGCAGCGTGGTCAACAGAAGCTTCCAGGAGTCCCAGCTTGGTAAGCAATCTAACTGCAGCTTCTCCTCCCAGGCTCTTTGCCCACAGATAGGCCACGTGTTTGTGGGCATTGGCCCCTCCTTGAGTCCTGGCCACCTGTAAAGCAAACTCACTCAATAATCCTCCAATACAGAGTTGTTTCCTTCTCATCTCTGACCTTGGCTTTGACAAGGATCCAGTAACTGTTCTAAATTAATAGGGAGAGGCTGCGTGCGGTGGCTTATGCCTATAATCCCAGCATTTTGGGAGGCAGAGGCAGGCCGATCACTTGAGGCCAGGAGTTCAAGACCAGCCTGACCAACATAGTGAAAGCCCATCTCTACTAAAAATACAAAAATTAGCTGGGCATGGTGGTGAGTGCCTGTACTTTTAGCTACTCGGGAGGCTGAGGCAGGAGAACTGCTTGAACCTGGGAGATAGAGGCTGCGGTGAGCCAAGATCGTGCCATTGCACTTCAGCCTGGGCAACAGAGTAAGACTCCATCTCATAAAATAAAATAAAAAGTTAACAGGAAGAAGGCTACATCTCAGGGTTTCTTAACTTAGGTTGAAGTACTTAGGGTCCAAGGAGAGGCTTCACCTGCCACAGACCCTTAAAATTATAAGTGACATTTTCTGTATATAGATGTGAACGTGGTTCTGGCAAGAGAGACTCTGATCTTCACTCCATTTTCAAAGATGCTCTGACTGATTGTGAATTACTTAAAATGGGAAAGAAGGGCTGGATGGTGGCTCATGCCTGTAATGCTGACACTTTGGGAGGCCAAGGCAGGTAGATTGCTTGAGCCCAGGGGTTCAAGACCAGCCTGGGAAACATGGTGAAAAGCTGCCTCTATAAAAAAATTTAAAAATTAGCCAGGTGTGGTGTGCACACCTATAGTCCAGCTACACAGGAGGTTGAAGTGGGAGGATCCATTGCTTAAACCCAGGAGGTCAAGGCTGCAGTGAGCTGTAATTGCATCACTGCACGCCAGCCTGGGTGACAGTGACACCCTGTCTACAAGAAGAAAAAAAAAGAAAAAAAAAAAACCATGGGAAAAAAGGATGCATGTATCCCTCACTGTGGCCTGAATTCCTTACCCCATAGGCCTCTTCCCAAAGCCCACTGGCTTGGTACATGTTCACTGTTGCCTTCCATTCCTGGGCCTAGAGGTAGTGGTACTCGGCCTCCTGTAGTCAGCCTTCAGCCTCCAGCTCCTGCAAGAAGGTGAGTCAAGATGGAGGGATGGGGAGGTGGAGCCTGGCTGGGGAAGAGATAGGTAGAGCCAGGAGAAGGGCTCACCTTGCCCAGATGTAGGTGTGTGTCACTGAGGAGATCTGGATGGTGCTTCCCAACCAGGCGGATCATGTCATCATACAGCTTGTGCTTTTTGTACATGGTGATGGCAAGATCAGGCTCTTATACTGTCACATAGAGCCTGGGGAAGGGAGATACATCTGGGGCCTCCTAGACCCAGATCCCTACTGTCACTGCCTTCTGGGCAGAGGGTACATATCCTGAGCCCCATCCCTCTTCCCAGCAATGAAATCTCATCTCTCCCTACACCTCCTCTGAGGCCACAGCTCACCTTTCAGCCTCACGGTACTTGCCCTGCTTCTCCATTTCCTGGGCCTGAGTGATGTACAACACCAACACATCTTCTGGTCTCATGCATTTCATCGCCAGCTGTGGAGGCACAGAGGCAGGGTAGCCTCAGGTCCAATTCCCCAGGGAAGCAGGGCTTCAAGGGAACCTGTTTTTCAGGAACTCTGAACTCTCCCAACAATCACAGGAGTTTGGTTATTGCCACTCTACTAGTCAGGTCGGGGAATTCCAAGTCCTTATGGAGCAGAGGAAGAAATATATTCTGCTAAGGTCTGCAATGCCTTGTGCTGGGACATACACTCCCATTGCCACTGTAACCACTGGGCTCTGAAGTGTAAGGCAAGAGCAAAGTCATCATTGTGACCAGAGCCATCAGGAGTGGTAGTTCAGATTCTGCAGCTCGCAAGCCCATCTGTTCCTTCAAGAATGATAGATAGGTCTGGAAACAAGGGCCTCTCTTCATCCCTTCCTTTCTCTGTGGCTAGGGGTCAAAGTGGCTCAGACTGTTTTTTGGTACTCTTTGTCAGCTTTCAGGGAGCCAAGCAAAGAGGAGAAACAGACCCAGGAATGATGCCACACTGCCACTAAGGCAGAGTTCTCTTATCATGAACTCCACCCATCTCTACCTTGTGGGCTTGTTTCCAATGGCCAGCCTGGGTGTACATGTCTATAGCATCTTTCGTTCAGTCTCCCTTAGTATAGAGCTCCTCAGCAATCTGTAGTTGACGAGAGGTAGATACAAAAGGTCAGAGCAACAGGGTTGAATGAGGAAAGAACAAACCTTGGCTGGGATGATGTTTCTAAGAGATGGCATCAAAACGGTCCAAAGACGGTGATTCATACTCTGGAATTATAAACCTCCTGGGTCTCCTTCCCTGAAACAAGGTCCCCTACACCAGAATGTTGAACCTTCACATGGAGATCTTACCCCTAGGGATTTTGGGTCCCCACAAGTATTAAGCCAAGATGCCCCATTCCCCACCCTACCCTCAATTTTGGTTCCTACCTCACTAAGGCTATTAGTGTTCAAGTCCCCCACCAGCAGTGTGTGTGATGTGTGGGCCACCAAGTAATGTTCCTTTCCCAGGATTTTCACCTCTTCCCCCTCATAGCCAGAGTGGGACTTGAGCACCACCCGGGTTCCCGATGACAGGTTCTTCACAATCACCTTGGTAAAGGACAACTCTGAGCCCCTTAGGCTTCCCCAGTCCAAAAGAAGGGTGAACATCCATGCCCTTTGCCACCTCCACAGTCTAAACAAAGCTAATATCTTGTTCCTCCTTGGGCCTTGGATATTGTTGACAGTAATGGTACCTTACATTTATATGGGGATTTACTATTTATGAAATGCGTTCCTATTTAGCTCTTTTGATGCTCATAATTTATTTAATTCTGAAAGTTCCACGGGGTAAAACCAATCACTCTATGTTTTCATAGTCTTGGTACAAACCTTATATATCACTGATCACAGTATACGTATTGATTGATTAACTGACTGACAGAGTCTCACTATGTTGCTTAGGCTGGCCTTGAACTCCTGGGTTCAAGCAATCCTCCTGCCTCCACCTCCTGAGTAGCTGAGACTACAGGCATGTGCCACTGTATCTGGCTAATATTATTTTTTTGTTATGTCTGTGTCCTCTATTATAACAATCTCCTTGATCCAAGGGACAATGTCTTACAGATAATTATCTGTGTATTACCAATGCCTAACACTGCTGACACATAGTAGAGAATGAATACATGTTTCTGGAAAGAACAAAAGAATGAAGAAACCAAGGTATAATAAATGGAAGGACAGAGGTAGAAAAAAGAGAAAAGTGGGCTCAGGAACCGAGAAATTAGCTTGCAACATCAAAGACATGAGCTCAGGGGCCTTAAAACAACAGAGTTCACATTTATAATCCTGTTTATCAAACTGCCCCATTGACAGTGTGTAGGCAGTAAAGTTTTAAACCAGGAAGGTGTAAGTAGCAATCACTGCACAGCTTAAGCCCAGTGCTTAAAAGTTTTCTTACAATAAGCTGCAGGAACCACAGCAGGAAAGATACCAGGGTGTTGCTCTGACATATTCTGTTGCCCAGAAAAATGCTTCCAGAGGGACAAAGATTAAAATTGACACTATGGCTGTGGCCAGAAGGCAGGGAAATGTTAGATATGTATCAGGATGAATGAGCCATGCAAGGTCTCAGTGCAGTAGGCTACCATCCTGCTTACCTGGCTAGGTCCCACATACGTCAGCTCAAACTTGTTCTTGTAAATGCTTCTTCGGAAGCAGCAAACTGTTCTACCCACCACATAGTGTGCCCTAGAAGGGAAAGTGATAGCATAAAAGGTCACACACATAGTACACTGGCATGGGGAGAGTATCCACAGACATCCTCAACACCTGGGCTCTAGAGTCTAGAGAACGGTTGGCAGTAAAAGAGCTGGCAGTTTTTGGAAGTACCAAAAGGAAACCGGCTACAATCATTGGACTCAAGGGCACCACATATTAATGGGATAAAAGGGAGAAACTAATGCTGCCTACACACAATTCTTTGTCCTTTTTGTGACCTCCAATAAAGTATGAATTTCTCCTTCCTGCCTTTAACACCAGAATTTTAGGTTAGGATCAAAAGGAAAGAGGAAATTCTCTAGTGTCGTGGGAGAGTGCTGTAGGATAAGGGAGGTTTTTCTAGTTTGGTGAAAGTCACCGATCCAGAAAGGGATTACTAGTAACACACCACACAGAGCCATGAGCCATCCCGCTTCCAGGCCAAGGCAGTGACGGTATATAAATTGGCAATCTCCTTGGGCTTTGCCTCTTCCCAGATGCTTCTTTGAGAGCTCCAGTTGAACACCCGAAGCCTGAAATAAAGTATGTGGCTTTTAGAAGAGATCGAGGCTGAGCTAAAGGGTGCAAATGAGCTGATAACCAGAGGAAATTAGTCTTGCTGTAACAGAAAAGAAAGGAAATAAAAAGAACACACAAGCTAGGCATCTAGCAGGAGAGGACACAAAGGTGCACAGGAAGTAAGCTGGGAAAATCAAGGCAAAACTAAAACAGAATAAGAGTGAGAGGAGCGGAGAAAACAAAAAGATCAGGGCAGGTGAGAAAAATGAGCTGTTAGGAGCAAAAAATATGGAACAAGGAGATAAATGGTAGGAGGCAGTGAAGAAAGGACAGAACACGAGGAGACATAAGATTGAAGGGGATAGAAAGACAGGACTGACAAAGCTGGGGTTAAACACATGCCAGAGAAGTGATGAGACCTGGGACATGGCTGTTCATCTGCTGCTCCACCATTCATTCACTCATTCACCAAACATCTGAGCATATCTTAAATATATACAGCATACAGATGCTAATCTAGGCACTGGAGATAAAAGGATGAATAATAAGCCCCCTTCTTAAGGACTCTGATTTAGCCAGACAGATGCAAACAACAAACTGTAATATGATGTGAGAAACTCTACGCAGTCTCAAAGCAGGCAATGGAAACAGATCATAGAGATGAATTCTGCTGTGGAAGTGCAGGGAGAGGCACAGACAAAACAAGAGCACAGGACATCTGGAACTGCCTGCACACCCATGGATGGTGAGAACAGGACGAGGAAAGCACATGAATTACAATCTGAGAATCTCTTTCAACAGACACTCGATTTTGGTCCAGTCTCCCACTCTGGCTCGGAATAATTTGGCTAAAGCATAAAGCAGGGAGTGTCCACAGGGAAAGTAGGTGGAAGATAAAACTAGAAAGGGGACTCACCTGTCACAGCTTCCTAGCACAACGGACTGGCCCCCAGGACTTGCTACAGCTGTGGTGAACTCCCGCTCCTGAGGGTCACGGCTATAATCAAGTTTGTAGCACGTGGCCTTCTTTTCCATAGGCTATAATCCTCCTATCACAGCCTGCAGCCATGATGCTATTGGTTGCCCATGCCAAGGCACAGGGTGGACACGGGTGGTTAACCAACTTCCCCTAAGACAGACAGAAGGAGAGGGTTTCAATCAGTCTCTGAAGACTCCACCCCAGAAATTCCTCACTCTCAGCACCTGATACATTCACTCTGACCATCGTACCCTGCAGAAGTCTTTCTCCCAACATTTTCCCATCTCAACACATCCTAATCCGGAACTCTTCACAAACTGTCACACACACACACACACACACACACACCTATACAGATGCTTCTTAACCTTGTTCTCTAGAAAACCTCAAAATGCTTGCGTATTGGAAATTTTTAATATGCATCTGGTAAAGCTCCTCTGAAAAGGAGATGTCCTACACATTAACTAACACTGTCTAGCCCCACAAAGAGCATAGGGCTTCTTTTTTTAAGGAGGGTTAAATTTAACTATTATACAAGTCTTGTTTTTTTTTTTGTTTGTTTGTTTCTTTTTTAACATGGAGTCTCACTCTGTTGCCCAGGTTGGAGTGCAATGGCACAATCTCAGCTCATGGCAACCTCTGCCAGCTGGGTTCAAGTGATTCTCCTGCCTCAGCCTCCAGAGTAGCTGGGATTCAAGGTGCATGCCACCATACCTGGCTAATTTTTATATTTTTAGTAGAGACGGGGTTTCACCATGTTGGCCAGGCTGGTGTTAAACTCCTGACCTCAGATGATCCACCTGCCTCAGCCTCCCAACATGCTGGGGCTACAGGAGTGAGCCACCATGCCTGGCCTATATGATAAATTATTATTTTTTTTGATATGGAGTTTTGCTCTTATTGCCCAGGCTGGAGTGCAATGGCATGATTTGGCTCACTGCAACCTCTGCCTACCGGGTTGAAGTGATTCTCCTGCCTCAGCCTCCCAAATAGCTGGAATTACAGGCATGTCCCACCATGCCAGCTAATTTTTTGTATTTAGTAGACATGGGGTTTCACCTTTGTTAGTCAGGCTGGTCTTGAACTCTTGACCTCAGGTGATCAACCTGCCTTGGCCTCCCATAGTGCTGGCATTACAAGCGTGTGCCACCGTGCCTGGCCTACAAGTAATTCTTAATATAAATAATTCAAACAATACAGAATTATATGGAGTAAAACATGAAAGTTTCCTTTTTATCCCCCATCTTTTTCCTTTCCCCT